ACCAAATTAGAAAAAAAAAATGAAAAATTCAAAACAATCTTTTTTTTCAAAACATAAAAATTCAACTCATGTTTTCACTATTCTTGAGTTAATAGTGATAAAAAAAATGTTACTAAGACCTACAAAGGATAGAAAATGAACTTCCAAAAGTATACCATTCAAAATTCCTCAAATCAGAAAGCCTCCCAGTTTTTCCACCCTGATGACAAGGCTTCATGCATTTTGAGAACTGTAAAGTGATATTTGGCTGGACACCAGGAATTTCTTTGCATATCACCCCACTTTCTGCACTTAAAATAGAAAATAGAGGGTCCGGTTTAATTTCAAACCAATTAGAAATAATTCAAATATTTTTTATAAAAATGCAATATTCATTAGTAACAAAGAAAAGAGTGCTGAACTGTTATGCAATATCAGACCACCTATATGCTAGTGGATGTTGAAAAATCTCCTCATAGATGAATAAGAGACATGAGGCAACAGAAATGTGGTTCTACAGAAAAATGCTGAGCATACCATAGACTAAACATGTGAGCAACGACAAAGTTTTAATAAAAATGGAAACAAAAATGACACATACTTAGTATCAGAAAGAGATAGTTGAAATTATTAGGACACATTATGAGGAGAGAGGGCTTGGAGAATTTGACACTCACAAGACATATTGAAGGCAAGAGAAGCAGACAGAGGAAAACAGTGAGTAACCTACTTAATGAGCTTGTGTAAATAGATGGCAGAACAGGAACTAGAATGGATGGTGAAAAGACAAATTTATAAAGGATAGGAAGTTGTGGAGAACTACAATCGTCAATGTCCTGAATCGACATAGAAGTATTAGTAAGTAGGAGTAGAGGTTTATCCCTGGTTCATCCCTCCCTTTATTTGAACAGGAGTAGAGGTTTATCCCTTATCACTTGGTTCATACTCCGTCCCTGTATTTTTAACAGGAGTAGAGGTTTATCCCTTGTTTCCTGTTTAGAGTTGGATTTCTGGTTCTTTATAAAGTCTTCTTATTCTCTTTCACTTCAAGCAACCCCTTGCATCTTAGTGGCATTATCACCTTACCTGGGGTTAAATGATTAAAAAAAAAAGTTATGATAACAGAAGTATATAGTATATTATAATATTACATTAGTTTAGTCTAATGTTGAACCTAAAGTGCTGTTCCAAATCCTGGCTTTTACCTAAAAATTGTCTCTAAATCCATTGGAAAATATGTATCAAGCTTAACTAGCCAGCAGACCCCAAACCCCATTTATAAGGGCTATAAAAATGATGGGAGATCTCAAAGTGTTAAAAACTAAAGTAAGCAAAAAAAAATCTCAGGTCAAGGGTCAGAGATTTTTGTTTTAAAATTTTTGCTGAATGTAAAACATATTACACAGTATTCTATTTTCTGTTCCTTTTATGAAACACAGAAAAGCTAAGAGGGAGACACACTGACATACACTGTATGTGTCCTTGTTAACAAGGACAAATCACAAAATATGTAACTATATCCTGAAGCAGTATACGGAATCTCACACATGCATAATATGGAAGTCATGGTGAGGTCGTGATTTTTTTGTTTTTGTCTAGTATTAAATTTTTCATTGTACAATTCTGTGAGTCAAGGCAAGATGACTAAAACAAAATATATGTGACATTGACAATAAGAGTTTTTTTTGTTTTGTTTTTTAAATACAACCTGTTTGAACAGTTACAAGTTACTGGGAATTGTTTTTGAAAAATGCCTCTAAATATATATATATATATAAAAAAAATTAAATTACTTCAATAAAACTGTATAAATTGTTATATTGAAAATACATTAAAAAAAACAAAAAACAAAACAATGAATGAATTTTTGAAAGATAATTTTTTTCCCCAAAATGCATCTTGATACAAATCCTCTTTCCAAACTCTTATAATTCTCTAATTCATACATTCTTAAGCACCATATCCTTTCAGGACAAGTGTGATCATAGCTCTCACAACTTCCTGTCTTTTGTTGCTCTAAGTAACTTTTGACTATCTACCATCCCTCTTTGTGTAAATGAATGGCAGAACATTGACAAACTAATTAAGTAGGCTACTTGCTGTTTTACCCCTACTCCTCATGTATTCATTATTCCATGTGAGAGTCAAATTCTTCAAGCCTTCTTTCCTCATGAGGCTCAGAAATTTCAGCTGTCTCTATCTGATTGTAAGTATAAGTTTCCTTGTTCCTATTTTCCTTCTGAAGTTCAGATAACTGAGAGGAAGATCTGCTGAAGAATAATAATAAGTTAAATGAGGCAGCATATATTGTCTTGTTGTATGGAATTTAATGCATTGATTAGTGAATTTGGTGCCTTAAATGCAAGTTTAGTACCTGTACCAGACAGTACAGATATACTCGGTGGAAACAGAATTGACGATAACTTAATTAACCAAATCATCCTTAACACAACCATAGACATTTGAAATGAGAACAATCTACCGCCACAGATTACACAGAAAGCACAATAGTTGAAACATAGTCATAACTAAAAAGATGAGGACATTAGTCTGACTGTAAATAATTATATTAGAGTTGACTTTATTCTTCCACACTCAGTAACTCCTTGCGTCTTAGTGGCTTTATTGCCTTGCTTGAGGTGAAGTGAAAAAAAAGAAAATATCAGTCCAAGCTGATTATGTGGTGATAAAAGCAGCAAGTTAAAGAAAAATCTAACTCAAGGTTGGTTAAGTGTCTGCTCAGTCTGCTTCCTCTGCATTTTTTTTTTATCAAATACAACATTAATACATTGCCAATACACAATCATATAGTTAGAGGTCATTCTTGGCTCCTATCAGTTCTTAAAACAAAATGGATTTTTTCAAGCAGTTTGCATGAAATTTTACTATGATTTAATTTACACTATTTAGATTATTTCTAACATATGACAAAAAATATGATAGAGATATCTGAGGGGTACATTGAAGTAGTGAAAGATGTCTTGCAAAAGCTAAACAAAGTATTATGAAACGGGAAAATATTGTTAGAAACAAAGAAATGAGTACTGAACTCACAAGACATTGACAGTAAGAGGAGCAGAGAAAAGCAATGAGTAACCTACTTAACATGCTTATGTAAATGAATGGCAGAACAGGGACTGGGTAAATAGTAAGGAGACAAACATTGCTTAGAGCTACGCAGGATAGGAAGTTGTGGAGAGTAATGATCACTGATATCCTGAGGTACATGACACATAAATGTTTGAACAATATTTTGATAACTACCAGTTCCAACTGAATTTTAATATATTATTGCTTCAAACATTATTTTTACTGGATACCTGTAGTAGACACCACATTTTTTAAACAGTGTGTAACACATTTACCGGTCTGCACATTTGAGAAATCTGCGTCCCCCTTTGCATGAGAAACCATCTTATGATCCGACATGCTTTAGACTGCTCAGCCATGGAGAGTGTCACAGCCCAACAAGGTTCTAATTACCTTTTTAAGGAATGAACTTCTCATTCAGATTTTCTCTAAAGCCCATATCTGCCCAGTTTCATATCTAAGACATAAAGAAAACAATTTCTAAAGAATTAATGGATTTATTTTATATTTTTATCACTTCAAACAGTTTTATTATTTTTTTAGTCAGTCAGTAAGTTATTTGCCATGCGTGATACACACTTAGGCCATCATGTATCTTTCAATACATGACTGACGAGGCAGATTTTTTCCCACAGTAGGTTGCCATTTCTTTCTGCAGTAGACCAGTTGCCATCTAAGGCTATAGAACCCGGTCCATCCTGCAATTTACCCATAGCTGGGAGGAGAAGAAGAGGATTCATACCTTTCCCAAGGGAAAGTGAACGTAAGTGAATGTGATTTTTTTTAGTAGATACCCATATTTGAGTAAACATCCTTGTTTTTAAACAATATTTAATAAGAGCTACTGCCCTGCACACTTAAAGAAAATATGCCTTCCAGCATGGTTTGAACCTGCATCCCTCTTTATCGGTTGGGCAGTTCTTAAATAGATTTTTTTTCTTTTCTTTTTATTAGAACAGTATTGTCAACAGCAATTATCACTTTGTATAAAACATTTAACGTCCAACTTCACTGATATTTGTTACAAGCTTCAGGCTCACAAGATGCATTGATGCGAGGCCATGTGTACAACTGCAAAAAAAAACAAAGCTGCCTTTCAGAAATTTTTTTATAGATTCCTGTTCAATAGATCCTTCCCATATTGCAGATTATGTAAACAGCTTGTCTATACAAATGAAAAGTCAATGCCTGTTGTTCAATGCTACAAAATGTGAATTACTTAAAAGCATAGCCTAGTTTGCCATAATCATGGCACTTTGTGCAACTGACTTGCTTGTTAACCTCTTTTCTATTACGGATATTTTTTTTTTAAAGTTGGACTAATATATTAAAAGAATGTGCAGGTGGGGTAATGGTTAGCAACTTGGATAAAAGAAATCAGCAAGCTGAGTTCAAATCCCAATCAAGCTTGTTATATTCAAATACCCTTGGTTAAGATAGGAATCCATCTCTTCTCTTCCAGCTATGGGTTAAATAGTAGGGCAGAATAGGTTCTTCAGCCATGGTTGGCAACCGGTCTAGAAAGACAATTCTGAATTCAAAACTTGTTAGCTAGCAATTCCATCCCATAAAAAACTTGCTATAGTGTGTTGAAATAGTGGCCCCATACCCAGCAGTTGGAGTATAGAGGACTTGAGAGAGAGATTATTGATTCATTCCTTTTTTACAGTTTATCAACCCCTTGCAAATTATTTAAAACCAGAAAATATTTTTTCGATTGTAAGAATTGTTTTCTTTTTTTTAGGTAATAATCATTTAGTGATACAAGTCTTACTAATTAACCCATAGTTGGAGGGTGAAGAGGTGGATTCATACCTTTCCGAAGAGTATTTGCATGTAAGTGAATATAACAAACTCAACAGAAATTGGAACTTGGCTCTCCGATTAACAATTCCAAGCCATTATCCATTACACCAACTGTACATCCAAGCTCACAGCACCTGGTATTCCCAAGCAGTCACCCATTTAGGTACTGACCAGGCTCAACGTTGCTTAACTTCAGTGATCATATGGGAACTTGGGTTTCAGCTTGATATGGCCATAAGCCAGAGAGAGATTAAAAACTAGCTGAAGTACCTGTCTTACCGAAATAAGTAGTCTAGACTTTGATCTAATCTGGTTATGATGACAGAAAAACTATTCCTTTGGTTTGAAAAGTAGATCCGCTTAATCTTTTATACCAACATGAAACAAATGTTCAACTTACAAATGTCTACCTTTATTAAATAAAAATTCTTATTGGTATTTGTTATATTCCGTACTAATAGGAATATATACTTAAAAAACATGGTGTATAAAATAAGTAAAGGTTTACTGTAAAAACCAGTACAATAAGAAATAAGGTAACAGTTATGTGCATGGTCATCGCAAGTCAATCCAGTAGTGAGTTCTCGCGTAAGTCTGAGTTGTACTCAACAGATACCAACTAGAATCCATAGTCCGTTGACTTACAGATACTTATAGTGTAGTTACTCATGGGGGTGATAGGTTATTCCATTACATCAGCATTCATCTTAAGTTGAGTGATCATTCTTGAAACTAGAACAATTCAAGTTGCTAGATGGTATACTATTGGCTGACTATAAAGTCACCAGCATTTATGACGAAGCTTATAATTATCATTGGTAGTTTTATCCATATTTTCCTCTTATTTGGCCTTGTGCCACACAAAGTTTAACTTAATACCTTATCTATAATCCCATGCAGGTATTTTTTAAAAAAAAGTAATGTCTGTTCTAATTTTAAGTGTTAGTTTTTTGTTTTTAGCAGGAATTTAGTTCTCAATAGTTGATTGCATGTACTATCTATTTTTGGGGGGGGTGCTAATGATTTTGTTAATGTCTGACTGACCCCTATAAGGGGGCTGTTTCTACTGTTGACCTAAACAGTTGCTCTTTCAAACTTATTCAGTTTTGACCTGCAGATGGTATTCATCTTTGGTAGAGTTACAATGGTATGGACAGTACTGATACTTTTAGTGAGGTGTTCAACCATGATTCCAGGTCAACTGTAGAAACATTCCTTTTATAGGGGTGAAGCAGCTGGATATTAAAATTGCATTTTAGTGGCCATTGTTGGAAGTTAAACTATGGGATCCAAATGATGGGAAAAAGCTCAAAAGGTAGACCAGCAAGAAACTTCATTGATGAACTCATAGATGACAACACCAGAATCAGAAATGAAAATGTGGGTAGAACCATGTATGACAGAAATGGTTGGAAAGAAACAGTAAGGAATTTTCATGAGATGGATTTTTTTTAAGCTATAAAGTATAAAGTGCTGATAAGTACAGGGGAAATATTTGTGGAGTTGTCTTTTCTTTTCTGATCCATAAATTGTTTTTTACTGCTCTTCTGTATGTATATATTTTACTGCTCTTCTGTGTGTGTATATATGTATATATACAGAAAGCAAAGTTTTGAAAGAAAAAAATGCTGCAATCATTCTATGTAACATCTGTGTTGCTGCTCAAACAGGGATAGCACTTGGAGGATAATGATGATGAACTGAAAGAGTTAACTTGCACATGACTAAGAAAGCAGCCAAGAAGCTTCTATGAGGTCAATATATATGCCCTTATTCAAAGGTGATATACTATGATTGTGAAGAAAGGAAACTATGTTAAAGACTAGATTTGATATCCTGAGTCTTTTGTTTATTTTGTTTTGTTTGTTTCTACTAATAATAAATATTTTGTACTAAACAAGGCATCAGTTTTTGACCAACCCTGATGATTGAGAAAGAAAGGAGATTATGTTGTGGACTAGACTTAGAATATCGAGATTTGTGTTAATCTTGATATGCTTTTTGGGTTTCTACTAGTAAATCTGTTGTAATTAAAGAGGAATAGCTGTGTGGTGGTGTAATTTATATCTACCCAGAATGAGCAAGGTTCAAATTCAAGTTGAGTTTGTTTCATTCACTCACACGAAAATACCCTTGGAAAAGGTATGAAACCAACTCTTCTTCCTCCAGTTATGGCTAAGTAGCAGGACAGACTAAGCCCTATCACCTTGATTGATGACTTATCTAGGAGAAGGAAAACTGAATTCAAACCAACCTTGAGAGTTTTGGGCTCTGTCAGGCTAAGACACTCCAGCACCAGTACATGTGGTGCCCCCAAGTACTTGGTTATGGAACTAGTGATAGTGAATTAAAGAGGAATGGACATTAGGTATTGATACTAATGGTAATAGCTATATTAGATGTTTCCTTATAAGGAAACATTCAACACTGATTGACCGAAAAACCAGTGCTACTTTTGGTTGAAATTTATAAAATCTTTGTATTCAAAAAAATTTTCAGGAAAATAAGTTTCTCAAGTTCACTAAGTTATCACTATTGATGGGTGCTTCCTTCCTAACCTTTTGTGTGAAGTAGTGTGGAATCTCAACATCTTGAATACAATATGTTTTTTTCTCTTTAAGTTACATATGATATCCATTTTAGTTGTTACTGTTGTTGGAAATCCTCAATTGATGTGGTTTCTGTTATTTGGTACAGTTCTTTCTATGTGATTCTACAGTAACAATCCATAATGTTCAAAGAAGGATGGTCCTAGCTAAGACATATGGGCTTCATTTGCTCAAAGCAATTTTAACCGTTGATCACATAAAGCAGTTTTATGTATCTGATAGTTTAGATATCTCTGAACGGATTTGATGCCATGCATGACATCCATATAAAGAACATTACTCAAGTTTTTGGGTTAATGTTTTGGCTTTGTAGGAATTTGTGGTGTTAGGTGAAACTACACCTTAGCCTATTCTATGTTGTTTTTCATTATCTCCTATACTAAATTTGTTATAACTTATCCATTCACCAAGGTATTTGAAATCTTTAGTATTTACTATTTCCATATCCTAAATTTTATGATCATTCACAACTTTCATTCTAATTTCAGATCATAATTTCTGTTTTGGAAAGGTTTTATTTTGATTCCTATTTCTTGGAACACTTGGTAGAGGATGTTAACTTTTTTTTCAAGCTCATTCTTATCCTAACTATGAATAACATCAACATAGCAACCACTCATTGTCAATCTATTGGTCTCAGGAAGGAAAACAGGAATGCTGTTTTCTATTAGTAGTTTTGTCCTGGTGAGACAGAGAAGTATTAGGAAAAGGAATAAGTCAAACAACTATGTCCTGACCCCAAAGAGAAGAGGTATTGAGCAAAATTTCATGGGAAAATTAGCTCAGCAGGAGATGTTGAAATGGAATGTCCCACACTTCCTATTGCACATGTGGACTGATTATATCAGTAGATATATATAGTGAGCACAAGATATACTTGCTTCAGGAATTACTAGCCAGCTAACCAATTCCCTGTCTTTCAGTAGTTTATTCTTTTTTACAATATAAACCTCTCTTTCTTTCATCTATGCCCGTGTTGCTGTTCCTTTTACTCAAGTACCACCTTTGTCTGTTTGTAACCTTCTTCAAGGATACAACAAGTAGATTAAATGATCAGTGCCCATCTCTTCACATCTGCGCTTGTATATGTGCAGAACATAGTCTAGGAAAAGATTAAATAGACTGGGACTCATTTCCTCACTGTTGTATACTCCTGATGAAGTTTAGATTTTTCAAAACTTATTTTTGTTTTGTAAGATACTAGTCATACAAGTATTTATCTGTAATTTTTCCTTTTTATTAAGAAAAATAATGGGAAAAGAGAAAAAGAAATCTGCTAAATGGGATACCAAATCAAAATGGCTTCACACATTAACACAGAAATGTTCTCATAATAGCCAATACAAAAACTTCCAATGCCTTTATCCACTAAGATCCAATATTTTTACTCTCTTCCAACTGATCATACATACACTCCGAAAGTACATCAGCACTTGAACTGCAATCTCTTCATCAAGAAAAGATGAAAACAAACATTTCTGTCAAGGAAGTGCAAAGAAAGAAAAAATGGTCAGTTTTACTGATTCTTCAACTGATTCATGAAATTCTGACCAGCTTTGATCCACTGTTCAAGGCAGAAATTGTATTAAATTACAGCAAGTAAAGCTTAACACTATTAAATATAAATAATTTGATAAAATTTAATTTTATTATTCTACATGGGTTTTCTGTTAAATATCTTAACTACAAAATATATTAAATTTTAAATTAATAAACTTGTTACTATAAGAACGTTATATTTAATGCACACAATAGATTTTGTCATTCTATTTTCTCATCTTCATTAGTTTTATCATTCAGATGCATTCTACTGATCTCCTGATTTCTGAAATTCTGATAAGATCATTACCATTATTCCATAAATTATCTTAATGATGAGATCATTACCATTATTCCATAAATTATCTAATTGATGAGATCATTACCATTATTCCATAAATTATCTAATTGATGAGATCATTACCATTATTCCATAAATTATCTAATTGATGAGATCATTACCATTATTCCATAAATTGTTCAATTTCACATTCTTAACTCCTTTATTTGCATTCTTCAGATTTGTTATCAGAAATTCAGAAGAGTCCTTCAGCCTGCTTCATGTGTGTATAATTCATCCAGAAATTGTTTGGGAAGATGCCTCATAATAATTGTTAATAATTTTCTTGTTAATAAGACTCCTGGTAATAATTGTGGATGAAGGTGCCAAAGAATTTTGCAATCAATATAATTAAAAAAAAAAATCTTAATCAAATTACAGAGTAGATATTATTCAGCAATTTGTTAATGACTTAGTAAGCAAAACAACTAAGTAAAAAGAATAAACTATATATATATGTGTGTGTGTGTGTGTTGGTAATTTACCCATGCACACATGGACACTCCCAGCTATAAACAGGAGCAGGTACTGCATTTTGGAGAGGGAAATTTCCAGCGGTCAGCTCTGACAGTCAGACCGAACATTATTGCTGTAGCACTCTCGTTTGTATATGTTTGTATTACTGTTTCTGTTAATATATTTAACTCAATTCCTCTCTTTGTGTCTTTATTTCTGGCCCTAACAAGGCCACAATATGACAAAGTGGAAAAAGTTTACTTTTGACTTTTGTTTTGTCTTTCAGGTCACAAG